TTCAATGAAGCATGTTCTCCCTTTCTGAAGAAGGAAAAAGCCATTGCACATCCTGGAAAGGTACAAAGATATATTTTAAGAAATTTATATCATCTGTGATCATTGCTGATTGACAATACACTTATTCTTGTGATTGGTATTCTCTTTGGGAGACTACCTTTTTGTAGAAAAATTCTAATAGCTTTATGAAATGATTTTTTATGTCCCATATATGTTCATACAAATGCTTACCTTTTATCCTCTTGGCTCTTTGCTGAGCAAAGGCCATGGCCAAGACTAGAACATTTAACTTGCTGAAGCCCCCTCCAACTCGTTTCCTTAGCCAGGCCTCAGATATGGACCTCCTGTTTCTGGTTCAATTTCTAGTACATGACATGGCATAAGCTCCAGTTGCTTAGGTTGTCTAGGAAGTTTCTCCATTTATTTCTTCTGTGAAGGTTTAATGTAGTGCGCTTCTAACTACTTGAATAGTGATTTTTTGTTACACTTGAGTAATGAATATTGTGTTGTGTCATAAATGATTATCTCTTCTCACAATAATATGCATTACATAGCCCTTTTCATAGTTCGTAGAGAAATAACATCTTCAGAACTCAATGACTTCTTTTTGTCCACCCGATGACTCTTTTAGTTATCTGCTTGTGGTTATGTAAGCTGTTACTTATGATTTGGGGTAACACAGTGCAAGAGGTATTCGACAATAAATGTTTCATCTGTGGCTGATGTTTGATGGCTTTAGGTCTGTAGAATCAGAGAACTTCCTAAGAAAAGTAACATAGTGGCAACACATACACACAGTCCTAAAGTAAGTACCCCTGGTCTTTTTGCAGTTAGATTAATTTAACTCGAATTATAAATTTGCTCAATTGCCGAGGCATTCGATGAGTCTACTTTGATGTAGATCCGTAAAATTTATGCAGGTACTCATTTGGGACATTGATGCTCAGCCCAATCATCATGCTGTTCATGATGCTGCAGGATCTAAACCCACTTTGGTGTGTTCTACGACTTAGTTTTTTTAAGCCTTGTGTATGTTGATAATTATTTATGTCTTAAAGAACCTCCTGGGGCAAACTTCTGCATCTTTTCTTAGGTTCTCATTATTATCATTGTTTGTTTTCACGTTTGAAGTGCACTTCCAGCTTAGTGCAAGTTATCTTCTTGCAGATATTGGAAGGGCACACACAGAATGCAGAATATGCTCTTTCTATGTGCCACACTGACTCCCTTGTGCTTTCTGGAGGTTGTAAAAGATCCCCATTTAATAATTTCATTTGTTACCTTCTGCAGTTTAGTTTCTTGAAGGCTGCAATTGATGCTTGATTTAGCGTTTCTGTTTGCTTGAATATCCATATATCTCTGAAATAGAAATCTTCTAGTTAGTTGCTTAACCATATCTCCCTTTTATGTTTGAGGAATCAGTCAGGATTATAAAAAGGGAAAGAAGTTACAGATAAAACAAATACTGTAATTCTTCAACAAATATTCTATAGGAAGTTAACACTACTTTTGGGCAATATGTAGTTTCATTTGTTCAAGCTTAAATGCAAGGTATGCTTCTCAACATCAGATATTTATTTTAGATGTAAGTTCGATTGGAATTTTCAAGGGTCCTAACTGTTGTAGATTGATATAAATAACGATACTTTTGTTAAAACAGAGGGAAAATGTAAGGTTAAGTAGAATTAAACTTTCATGAGACTTTTGTAAGTTGTATTTAAAAAAAATTATTTTTCTGTAGGACCTTTTTGCATCCTAGATCACTGAAATTAAAGCAAAATTTGCTCGCTTGAAAGTTGCAACGATCCCAAGACCCAACTGCTCCTAAAAGTAACAACTGGACCACACTTGTGCTCACCAACCAGACATTCGGTGATCTCCTCAATCACGTTCAGACAAGAGAACCCACTTGGTATGAACATGATCTAGTCTCTATCAATTAGGGGTGCATTCGGCCCGGATATGGCTCGGATATGATACTTATCATATCCATATTCACTTACTCATCTCACATACGGATATGAATACAAATATACCTCGGTAAGGAAAATTCGTATCCATATCCACTAAAATCGGATTCGGATATGGATATACCTGCGGATATCTAAGCGGATATGCATGTTGATATAAAACGAATATGAGAAAACTAGATAGTACTGAAAAAATATAGTTCATGTGATACAAAAGAGTTCATTAATATGTTCATTATATCTAAAAAGCTAAGATTAGACATCTTGATCACCAAAATTAACCTGAAATGCATAATCTAAGATTCTAATTTGAGCTATAGGCCCCCTGCGGTCTTTTTGTGTTGGACTTCCCAAAGAGCTTCGTTCGACAAGCACAATTAGATTGATGTTAACATCTTTTTATCTATCTTAAACTTTTCATCATCTGTCATCATCAATGTTGGCATCCTTTTGTTTCTCTACCAAAGCCTTCTATAATCCTTGTTGAACAAGAATAGCCTACATCTTGTCAAAGACCGACATTGACATCACGATCGAACTTCTCAATCTTGTATCTCACAGACAACGTCTATGTGCACAAAACAATTTGAAAACCGAAGCTTTGATATCGATTTGTTAAAATAAGTGCACAATCGAGCTGAAATAATTGCGAAGAATAAACAGGAGAACAAACGACAAGCAATCGCAAATTTCTTGATAGAAATTTATGTGGGTCACCCAATTTGGGCACATCAATGGTGTCGGAGAGAGATTCCACTATAGAAAGAGAAAATAAGGATTACAAGAACTCACAAAGGCCAAAAACTTGAACCCTCAAACTCTGTTCTTTTTTCTTTTCTCAGAGACAATAACGGCAAAAGCAAAAGAAAATATGTTTTACTAATAGCAAAACCCTTTCAATTAACCTCTTAATCATGGGTTAAATCCTAGCCGTTCATAAAGATAAAAAAAAGCTGCTAATACTTTATTCCTGAGCCTGGACTTGTAAAGACTCCGCACACGCATCTAAGTCCTAATGTTATTAAGACAATTGATAGCATCATATCCCACATCCAATGGGATTTAGAGCACATGTTGCTAGAATATTTTAGTGGCACAAGGGTTATCAACACTACATTTTATAGACTTGCCGTATCCCTTATCCACACATGTGTCTGTGTACGCACCACTACCTGTGCGATATAGGTTTCAGCTTTTACTGATCCAACAAGTAACAAATTAAGACAGATCATGTTAGGAAGCCCAACTACACGACTAACCCATTAGACAGGTCAGATCAGGAAGACCAATAGTCTTCATGTAGTCATCAGAGGCCACCTTTGGGCCTAGATGCCCGTGTGCTAAGAGCAAAGTTCACCTAGCAAACACCTCATTGTACCTTGGCCTGATTAGCTCAGTCCAGACTCCAAGGCCTAAAACACGGGCTGAAACACAAGTTTAATTAGTTTAACTTATGGAGTGCTAATCCAAAGTAGACATTGATACTTCACTTTTGCAAGCTTTGATTCCATGATCTGTCGAATGACAAAAAGTATACTTGCCACTGTCGCTAACAGTTTTTATGAAAAAAATATAATATTAATGGTAGGTATAGTTTGAAAACTAACCAGATTTTGAAAACAAATTTTTTGCACGAGACCTCCAACAGTTTTTCCATTGGAACTAAATCACATTGTTAGTCATGTCTGACTATCACCAGAGTTGCATTTGTTCATGTGCAGGGCAGGACACAATGGTTCTCTTGTGGAGCATACAGGATTATATGTCAACTCTGGGAGGGACTGCATCTGCAAAATCTCCTGCTGCATTATCTGAGAACTCAAGTGGTCAGCAGGCTGTGGAAGCTAGAAATGACAAGGGCATGGAAGCTCCAATGGTTGCACCACGAGGATGCTTTAGAGGGCATAATGGTGCAGTTGAAGATGTGCAGTTTTGCCCTTTCAGGTATTCATGCATTGGAATAAGGCAATGTATGATATATTCTTTGTTATGTTCTTGATGGGATGAAAGATGTCTATTCTAAGTATATTCTTTGTTATGTTGAGATCATTATTCATAAAAAAAACAATGTGAAAAAGAGTGAACATACATTCCTTTGTTTATGATATAACCCCTTTCATCTTATTGTTATTTACACCTCATTGATGCCAAATGTACTCTTTCACCAACATGATCTTTTCTTTCCTGAAGTGAACAGGAATTCTGTAGTGTTGGTGATGATTCTTGCCTGAAATTTTGGGATGCTCGGACTGGTGATAGGCCAACTACAAGTGTGAGTTTGTGTATCATCTATTCTTAAAATTTTATAAACTCTTCACTTATGAAGAATAATATTATTGTTCAGAATAAGTTTTCTATATCAGTAGGTCAAGTTCATATTTAACTATTAGCTAACATCATGATATATTTCCATAATCTTTTTTTAGTTTAGTATATATACTTCGTCTTTAAATGTGAGAGGTGAAAACTGCATTGCAATTTTCTACCGACACATGGTGAAATATATTTATCATTTTTCTCGTCTTCTCTTTACCATGATTGTCCTCATCATTATCATGTGAAATCCCCAGCACGGTAAAGAAAAGAAAACCGGACCAATTTACTTTATTTTTTTATCAATGTTCCTGTAATTGTAATTTTGTTTTGAAGTTTTTTTCCCTGGTAACTGATCACCCTGTTTTCCTTGTTGGCTGGTCATGATTTTGGAACATGTGATGATTAAGGCAGCTCACATGTCACGTCTTGCGCTGATGCTTCTTTATTATTATTTGTTTTATTTGGGGGTGGAGTGTTGCTAAATATCCAGGATTCCATTTTGTTGTGTAGATGCTTAATTGTTGGTCAATTACTAAATCCACTAAATTCATTATTATCTGCAATGCCCCTAAATTCATTTCACTTTTCAGTACGTTTTTGCTGTAAATTTTGTACAACTCCATATGAACTTTATAATTTAGTTGAAGAATATGCATGTTTGTAATCTAATAATCGATAATGTGCCATTCTGCCATTTGACTTTTGCTTTTTCCATGTCCCTTATTTATTTTGAAGTAAAAAAAAGATGGTTGTTATAAATTTTGTAGTACTCATAGATGCCTAAAGTTTTCATTAATGGCTGGGGTACTATTGAGAGAATCATAATAAAAATGGGCATCCTTGCTTGTATATGAAGCATGGCTGCATAGCTTGTACTAATACAATAATTCATTTCACCGAATATAGCAAGATAAAGAGGTAGGTAAAAGTCCTTGTCTTTTTTCATAAGCTCAGTTCTATTAAAGAAAACACTAGCTGATCAATAAGTAGTATGGTAGGCTTTTTAGAATTTGGAAAAGAAAGGTACAGCGGAGCAAATGCCATTAACTTAAAATCACTTTTATATGAAGCATAGGTTGTCTGTAGTCTATTGAAAATATTTCATATCAGATATTATAGGTGACATGAACATTTATTATTACCTACAAAACAATATCATAAGAACTATTCACGGAAAGGTTTGCTTATAAAATTGTTTTCGATATGAGTTTGGGACACGTTTTCTGTATTCCTTCCACAAATGCTCTCTCTGGGATAAATCTCTTTTTGTAAGTCAAACATTGTATCTTTGTCTAAAACTTCCATGGTGTTTGGGTATTTTTGCAGCAAATGACTGAATCAAGAAAGTTTGATGCACAGTGGAGTCTGACAAAGTCCTTATGATGGATTGTCAATCCAATATCATTATTATATGTATAAAGTTCTGAGCAGTGAGCAAGAGATGATGAACTATGGACTTTTAAAAGTAGTTGATCAATAGGTGGACCCACCTTTTTGATAATTCAATTTAAATTGATGTAACCAAGGATCTATCTAGCCTTCAAATTCCCCATGATTGGAACAAACTGAGATGAAGAGGTAAGATGACATGACTTACAGTAGGGAAGTGCCTTTGTACTTTGAGATACAATATATGCCAAAAGAGTGACAACAAATTACATTCCAGATCCCCTGATAGCATGACCTTGGCTTGTCCGACCAATATGGTAGGCAGATTGCTAATTTGCCAACAATGTTTTCATAGCGTACTTATGATTATTAGGTAAATGGCAAGAGTATTTACATGGTTATAAGGCTATCTATAGCTATCAGTATTCTGCTCTCGCATGTTCTGACCAAATTAAGGTGACAGGCTCACCTCAATTTGGTATGTAATACATGATATATAATTTTTGATGATAATAGAAGATTACATAGTATACACGCGTGTGCACATGCACAAAGCTTATGATAATAAGTAGCTGTAAAGAAAAACATCTGACATGGTTTTACTTGGATTTGTGAGTTCTTTGGCTTTTTTCTCAAATCTTAGGCAGTCCCCTTTGCTCCCTGCATTGCTCTACTTTTTTCCTCCATTTTTTATTCTCTATTTTCTGCTGTGAATTTGAGGAACCAGAGACTCAATGGGAACCATACTAATCTTTAGTATTTATAGTACAACAATTAAAACATGTGATACTTGTGGTACAAAAGATCCTTAAACTATACTGAATATAATATTTGAGCATATTCCATTCATTAGCATATTCCTAATATTTTCACTAACATGTGCAATATCTTGATGGGCTTCTCTCCATGTCTTATTTCTAATTTTCCTATTTGAATGATCAGGTTGAGAAAGCTTGTCATGGACATATGTACTGTGTAGATTGGAATCCACATGATGTAAATCTCATCGTGACTGGGTATGGGTTCCTGTCTTTATTATAATTGGATGGTTTGATTTTCATTGCTACTTTATTATCAAACCAAACTTTAATGTATAAATTTGTATGGAGTAGTGTCATTTGTGTCGTTTGGTTCATTACCATTTAGTTCATTGTGCCATCTTGCCAGGTCTGCTGATAGTTTTGTCCGTATGTTTGACTATCGGAAGATCGATGGTGGTAGTTGTATAACAGCTTTACATAGACTTAAAGGCCATAAAGATTCTGTTCTTCGGGTTCAGGCATGAAAAATTGTCTCTGTTAATATGTTTGTGCTTTCACATAATTACCTGTGCAAACTTTGTTCTTCATAGTTGTCATTGTTGTTCCAGTGGTCTCCGAATAAAGCATCAGTTTTTGGGAGTGCTGCTAAAGATGGCTTTTTGAATGTATGGGATCATGAGAAGGTAAGGTGTACCATGCACATGTTCTCTATCCCTAATGAGATTTCGTCTTTTTTCTGAAACTGTAAGTTTTTCTTTTACTTCTTCCTTTTTTTCTCTCTCGTCAAGTATGGCATCAAATGAGACATGAATTTCAAAGTTCTTTAGTAGTATATTAGGACATTATATTTTGCCACGCGTCTGGATGTTTTCAACGCATTAGAAATCAAATGCTTCCGGTCTGGTTAAAGCAGGGCATTTGATTGAAGGTCTTTGGATTGCGCCCTCTTTTTCATAATATTTTTCTGAAGTTGTGTTCACTTTAATTCATTCTTGTGTCTAGTTTTATATTCTTTATTTTCTAAAGCGTCTTTCCACTTTTCTATTGCATGAGCTGTCCCTTCTCTAATATTATTAACAAATGCTACAGCATCATCACATTCACATAAGAGGCCTCATATCTTGTATACGGTATACCTAGTAGGGTTGTCAAATAATGGTGCAAAGAATCGAGGGGTTAATGTTGATCCTTGATGTTAAGTCTATTGCATAGAAAATATGTGAATGTTTTCTTCAGATATTGTCATGCTAATTTCTCCTTCATGCATCATATCCTTCATCAAATGAACATAACTTGTAAACACTAAGATCAACCATATAATATCCCTAGATAACCTATTATACAATCTTCTGGTAAATTTCTGAAAACCATCTATAGATTTTGTTGCCTCATTCTATAATTATTTTAAAGAGCAAATGCCAAATACTTCCTTTGTACCTTTACATGTAATAGCATCCTTTGTGCATCTCATTGGCAATAGGAACAATTGGTTTTTGGGCAATAGGTACAATTGGTTTTTGGACAAAAGATTACCATTGAATAGTTCTTGTGTAATTGCCTCTCATCTTAAGTCTCATAATCCTAATTCTACTGATTAGTTTCCTCTCATCCTGAGGCTCGTAATCTTAATTCTACTAATAGTTTATGCCTCTTCCTGCACCCCCTTCTTTATTCTTATAAACAGGTAATAGATTTTATCTATAGTCAATTGGCAGTCTGCAAAGTTCGACAAGTATATAACTGCTTTTATCACCCAGTGATCTGAAATGCTATAATGGAAATAGTTTTATCCATTCTGTTTGTTATAGCTAAAAATGTAACATATTTGTAAGTTTATGGTTGTTTTTATTTATATTATTGTTACTATATGATAACCTATATACATATCTAATTCACCTATATTAATATCATACAGACATTTAATTAGCTTGTGTCGGATCTGCATATCTAGTAGGCACCTAGGCTCAACTCAAGTTGTAACTTTCTAATATCCAAATTTAAAATGTATTCGCTAGTGTGAAAGATCCCTGTGGATTATAGCTATAATATGCACAGTTGCCAAGTTACCATTGGATGGAATGCATTAAATTTTCATGTCAAAGCTATTACATGTTAGGTTGGCAAGAAAGTATCCACTGGTGGTTTGAGGATGGTGCAGACACCTGCTGGATTAATCTTTCAACATGCAGGACACAGGTTTGTTGTTTTTGTCAAAATCTTTTTCCTATTTATCCACGTCAATTCTGTTGATTATCTGAATAGATAATTCTGCATCTAGTTATTACAGATATTAGTTCAGCTGCATCCATTGTCTTTATGTTACAATAATTAGGATTTTGTCCACACTGGGCTTAGAGATGGATATATGTGTCCTTAATTTCCTTTGGAAATAGCATTTTCTATTATTGACAATAGTTTCCTGGTTCCCTAATGAGGATAATATTGTAGAAGATGCTAAGAGAGCATCATAGATACCCAGGTGGCCTGCCCTTTCCTGGTGGATTCACATTAAGCTAATGTTTTTGAGGCCAAAGCTGGGGTTGCTCAAATTTGACCCTTTAGTGACATATTGGTGAAATAAGGTACTTGTGGTCTTAGTCTTTGGATCTGCTTCATGTTTATTGTATATTTCCTGTGTTTGTGCCTGCAGAGGAGGTAAAGTGACTGATTTCAACTGGAGCATATCTGATCCGTGGACAATTGCTAGTGTATCAACCGATTCTGGTAGCAATCCTGGTGGAAGCTTACAGGTAATATAACATAAATTCATCATGCATATTTCAAACTCTCCAATTTTATAAATTTGTCATGTTATAAGTATTAACCTTATGTAAATCCCAGAAAAAAAAAGAAGAATAATAAAAACACTTACGTAAATCCAAGTCGAAAAACAATTACATGTTTTCTATATATGATCTCACTTTTGACTTTCTGAATCATAACGCTTCTACAGATATGGTGCATGAGTGACTTGATACACAGACCTACCGAAGAAGTCCTTGAGGAGCTGAATCGGTTTAAGGACCACATCAGTTCTTGTGGGTAATATTGCTACATTTCATGAACCAGGGTGTCAGTGATGAGTCTTTGAGGACTGAACCTCGGAGATATGTTGGTTACAGTTTGTGAACTGTATATTCATTCCTTGATAACCTTTGGTGTCATGTATTGCTGTGTCTATAGTTAGAACCTTGGAAATATGTTGGTCATAGTTTGTGGAACTGTATATTGACTCCTCTATAATCATTGGTATCACAAACTTCCCCCTCAGAACCGTTGACATTGAGAAATTTGAGGTGCTGCGTTAACGAGAAGCCATTTTTTCCATGATTCTTAACACAGAATATTACCAGGATGGATTTGGTAGTCTAATAAACTAATCACTACGAAGTCCCCCCTGCAGCACCATTTTCTGTATGCAAAGTTTTCCCTTTACTTACATGCACATAGTGTGAGCAATTTATACTTTTTGTTCTCAACACTGTTTGGAGAAAGGAAGCTGCCATATAAGCCAATACGCAAGCTTCTTTCGCTCTCTGTTGGTTTCAAAAAAAATTTATTTCAGAGAAATTTAGCAGGAGAACTCTTTCAAATTTGTTCTTTTGCTCCCGAAGTAAGACCATAAGAATTGACCATACATTTGAGTAATACGGAGAGCACTACAGATGATCTCCAGAAGCAGCAGCAGCAGCAGGAACCTCAAGTGAATACGCAAGAAACGTGGCTATAATTCATTTGTAAATTGCATCCATAATTGTAGTTATATTATTTTCGTAAGCCAGACACACATGCTAATGACATGGAATTAAATCCATGGTTGAACTGAATGGATGTACTAACATTGGACACAGCAATACATGTCCGAAAAAGAACAAGAAGGAACAATGACCACAATATGCCTCGACTTTTAGAAATTCTCTCTTTTAGATTCGGGTTTTTTAAATAAGTTTCTTGATGAAGTTATATCTCAAGCATCTAACTCGTAATGAATTGCGGTTTAGTGAGGTTTTCAGGATGAACCTTCTGCTCGTACTAACCAAAATAGTTTTGAATTTTGGTTAGTAACATTTGGGGGCGGAGAGAGCAACGATTGAGCTTCTACTATGAGACCTTTCCAATAAAAACAAACATTTTCTACGGAAAGCACGGAAGGATATTCTTCCTGCAGTTTTGAATTTGAATGTTGTCGTGTGCCTATTGCTACTCCGTGCCAATATTACGAAACTGGGTTTGAATCTATTAAACATGTGTTGTGCTTTTGCCAAGAATGAAGTTTTGTTATGTAAAAAACTTTACGGGACTTGAAGTCCCGTGAAGTTTGGTATTTTTTTTTTTCGTCAAAAACGACCCAGTTTCAGCCAACTGGCTAAAACTAGATCGTTTTTGGCAATTAATTTTAAAATAGGTCGTTTTTTATAATTACTTTTGGAAAGAGGTTGCTTTTCAAAATTTCTCCTTTATCTCCCCAACTTCACATTGTGCATGGAGAGAATTCTTCCGATTGGTTTATTCAATGTGAAGAGTCACTTGATACCGCCCAATGAGACAAATTATCACACACAAATTGTACATGCCAACGTAATAAGACGTTGGCATGGTCTCCCCCTCTAGTGAATCAAACCAAATTAAATGTGGACGGAGTGTATGAGTAACTCTGAGGTTTTAAGTATAAGAGGATTTATTTGAAATATTAAAGCGAAGGTCCTTAGGGCTTTTGCGATGCCAAATATAGGGATGTGAATGATCATTCCATTCCATTCCATTCTCACATACATTCCATTCCATTTTCACTTGACTTCATTCTTACGTACCAAACGAGGCGTTAGGGCTTTTGCGATGCCAAATATAGGCATGGAGGGGGAGGGGTGTTTGCTGAGCACACTGAAGTTATTGCAATCATAAAAAGGTTTCAGTTTGCGAGAGACGCTGGGGTTCCTATTTTATTTGTCGAATCGGATCGCAAAGGAATTGTTTTGTTACTGCAAAACAATAATTTGAGTTCTGGCTTAGAAGAAGCAAAGAAAAATTGGGTGCAATATGGTTTTCCTCCAATTACTTACGTACCTCGCGAAGCAAAAAAAAAAAAAAAAGGGGTTACGTACCTCGCGAAGCAAAAAAAAAAAAAAAAGTGGCGCATCAACTAGCAAAGTTCGAGTGACAATTAAATTATGTGAGTGTTTGTTTTGAGTTACCTCATAAATTATCTATTTTTTATGCTGATTTAGCTAGTTAATGTCATGGTTTCCCCGCGGAGTTCCTACTTCAAAAAAATAATCACAGCAAAAGAAAAGGTTCTAATATAATATGCATTTACACTGGTACAGTTAATCAGGCCTCTGACTTGCCCATCCACAACTTGGGCCGTTCAAGGCCCGTACCGCTCCCTTGCCACCATTATGCAATTACCGACAAACTCTAGAAAATACAATCAAATATTGGACTCGCTTCCAGAGAGAACCACATGGACGGTAGCAGCACGAAGTCCAAGTCCGTGGGTCCGTGTTGGTATTCACTGCTATGACGTTGTTGGTTCTCCAGGCCACGATGGCAACTTCGTTAATAACGGTAACTCATGAGCCTTTGGAAGTCACTTGGAAATATACCAAAATAATAATAGTAATTTAATTTGAGATGAGAAACTTATGAGCTCCCAAAAAGAATTAATGTTCCCTTTGGTCGGTGAGAATGAAGCGGAGTGAGAATGAAATGGAGAAAAGAATAGAATAGAATTAAGGATTTTTTTTTTTTAAATAGGCCGATTTTACTAAATATTTAGTAAAATTGATCATTTTGCTAAATATTTAGCAAAATCGATCTTTTTTTGGCCAACCGGCCAAAAAAATATCGATTTTAAAAAACACCTCCCAGAAAACATATGGGACTAGTAGTCCTGTATGTTTTCAGTGTGCTAATCACGGAGTTGTGCTCTCAGAAAACATACGGGACTGCTAATCCTGTATGTTTTTAGGAGATTAGTGCCATTAAAAACATATTGGACTAGTAATCCCGTATGTTTTCAGCTGGGCGTTTTTTAAAATCGATATTTTTTGGTTTGTTGGCAAAAAAGAGATCGATTTTATTAAATATTTAGCAAAATGATCGATTTTACTAAATATTTAGGAAAATCAGTCTATTTTTAAAAATTTTCCTAGAATTAATATGGTGCTCATATTCATACACACATTTAGATGCAATTTAGAAAATAAAACGAGAATAGACATATTTAAAATTTTTATATTTTTTTTATTTCTACTAAGTGAGAATATTCATCACCTATATACTATCTCATTGGGAACACACATTCTCACATAAGTGAGTGGGAGGCATTTTAGCTTTCACAATTAGGCCATGTTTGGTGCAAAGGAATGAGAAGTGGAAATTGTTATTTCATTCTCAAGTGTTCCTGTGTACTAAACGTGGCTAAGGGAATGCCTTAGACTCTAATCTATATTTCTAACATCAAAAATAATTATTGGAATTTTTAGTCTTATGCATAAGACTCCTCCGATTATGTTTCACATTATATTTGTGATAATAACAATTCCAAATAGGAATAAAAATGAAATAATCAAACTGCCTCAAGAGTTTGCGTAAAAACATCAAAAGGAGAATATTATGCTAGAAAAGTTTTAGAGTTTCCACTTTCTTTAAAAATAAATGTCTATCTATATCTTCGTGCTATAAGGGGTGTTTGTTAATCTGAAAGTGAATTTAAAATATGCAAGTTACTTTTTTTTGCAAATGACTTTTACATCCATGTCAGCACGCAAGTGAAATACAGTGTTTGTTTGAAAAATTAAATTATTATCGAAAGTGCAATGTGAAGATGACGTAGCAAATAAGATTAATTAGAAAATATAATTAAAATTAATTAATTAAATTAGTTACCTTTTTGTCACTTTCATGTAACTTCACCACTTTTTTAGGGGAAGTCAAAATTGCATTAAATGATATGTTGCAACTTTCTTGTATCTCACTTTTATAACCACTTACATGAAAACAAACATCTTAATTGTTAAATGAAAGTAACTTTCTCACTTTCATATTTTACTTGCATGCAAACAAACACCCCCTAACTTTTCCACAACAGGAGTGATTTTATGAGAAGTTAGAGATTGGTCCTATCTGGGTCAAATGAGAGCGTTTAGTTACATTTCCTATTGAATACAAATTGTAAAATTGTGTTCTTATTGAAGGTTATATAATTTATACTATAATGTACTTTTGCAGGTTAAGCTTGATTTAATAGACACAAACATGAAATCTTGCTGTGAATTTTAAAAATCTATTTTAAACATGCAATCAATGAGATATGAATCTGGGTTTGCTTTAAAACCTCTTTTAAAATCTTCCTCACGTTATAATTTTTTTTACATTCTAACAAAAAAAATCAATTAAAATTGTTTACTATTTATGCAACAAAAGTGATAAATCCATCGATTAGGGGGAAAAAAGCTAACATTATAATTTATTAAAAATAACAGATATGGACTAAAAAATCAACTTAATTTTGTAGGAATTCAAAAGGGCTATTAACAAATCAACTTTTAAAGAATGAGATAGCTCCTAACACAACTAAATGAAATAAAAATAAAAAAAATATTCTTCCTAAATCTTTTACCGTCTCAAACGAGTTTTGCATAAGTTAAAAGAAAGACCAAAAAAAAGATCAAGAAAAAAATGCCAAAACCGGCAAAAAAGAAAGTCAATACTGAAAAAGAAAGAAATTAAAACTACTACTTTTCTTTTCTCTTCACTACTGCTTTTCTTTTCTCTTTTCTAAATAATAAACCCCCTTTCTCTTCTCTTTTCAAACCCCTCCCCCTCCCCCATCTCTCTCTACACCTCCAACTCACCAAAAGACCAAAATACCCCCTCCCTATACAAAAAGACAAAAAAACCGATCAGCCCCTCTCTACACAAAACCCTCCTCCTCCTC